ATGACCTTTTCAATTAAAATAAAGTGAACATTAACACCAATATTATCATTTATAAAATGCTATAACACAAAAAACAACATAAGCAGCAGATTATTTTATTGAATATACATACCAACTACAAAACAAGCGGGTATTAAAGTGTAAACGGACAACAAAACGGAAATGGAAGTGAAAAGGTCTGATGGTGGTGCTAAATCAGAGCCTATTACCTGTTCTCAGTCTTTTTCTCATCATGCATCTTGTGTGTAGTGATCCAATAATGTTACCATAGCCTTGCCCTTTAACAGTTATTACGAGCCCTTGCTCAGCCTTACTCACCAAGAGCCCAGCGCCTAGCCTTCTTACAGGCAAAGTCACTGATCAAGTCCTTGAAGTCCAGCTTTCTAGCCAACTGGCTTTCAATGGACAGCATGGCAAGACTGCAAAGCCTTATGGGGGGGGGGGGGGGGGGGGGGAAGGGCTGCTGAGCCTAAAGATGGATCTGTTGTTCCTGGCACCAGGGGGGACGGAGCCTGAGAAACTCCACCGGCGGTCATACGATGGCTTAAGATGCCCTCACGAATGGCCCGATGTTGTTACGATCAGAGCCGAATTTGAACATTTCCTTTATCGTGTGTCCATCTGGTGTCAATTTCGGGACAGTGTGACAGGGGCTTTACAAAGTGATCAAACATACTGTATTTCCTCGAATGTACTCATAGCAAATAGAGCCTCTTATTATTTTGATGTTGGCTGTCTTCCCTGTTTAAACACTCACTTCATCACCTGACTCATAAATAAAATAAGTGTACCACAATGTAAGCATTGGTTATTCAAATGGGACTCTCAAATAACACAGGCAGAAAGCAAACAGCTCACTGCCAAATGTGGCTCATGTAAAACTAATTATAACACTCCCCATGTTTGCACACACCTGGAGAGCCAGGCTGTGCACAAAATCAAGTGTGTTGTCTAAATGTGTCTGATGCTTTTTTTTTTACAGACCTGTTTACGGTCTGCTAAAACAGATAAGCTTCTAAATATTATTTATTGCAAAACATTATATGATACATTTCAATACCTTATGGTTAAACTATATAGTTATTAAATAAATAATGCCAGACTATTTTTGCCAGAAATGTCTTAAAGAGAATAAATAATGTCCTTTATTGGTAGTTTATTTGTTATTTAATTTATACTGTGCAAAGATTGTTTTCAGTGTACAGAAGTCCGAGATGTATTTTGTAAGAGAATAAATAAATGTAAATAATTAAAAACAATATTTACAAAATTACAAAGAAAAAGTTGCAGTTATTGGTGCATACAGTAATAATGGAACACATGACTTCAAAGTTGTTATTAGTAACTTTTAAAGCTGTCAAATCATTTGTATGTGCTAAAATTAGGTAATGATTAAAATTATTATTTACTTTAATCATTCACTTTTATTTTACGTGAAAATGTACAATAATGTGAAAATACAAAAGACAGACCAATACTTTGTTACAGTAGGTTACTTGATTCTGCTTGGGTTTATTTTAAGTGTCCCTTTTAGAGAGAAATAAAATAGGGCTTTATAAATGAGAGAGAAAGGGAAGAAGGATCAATTCAAGGGACCTTCTTTGCATCAGTAGGTGAGTGATCCATTGTTCAGCCCACCCATTTAAAAAAACCTGAAGACTTTGAATAAGATGTCACGCCAGTGGTTCACCGGAGCCTTTTACGGAGGGTTTCAAGGTGAATGGAAGCCACAACCACTAGCCCTTTCACTGCCAAATGACTGCGGCTGAGCCCTTTCCTGGCTCGGTGAATTTCAAGGGGGCGGTGGCTTGAACCGCAGAGTTAATTAGGTTTGTTTATTTGGGTAACATTTACATTCAGGAACCCTGAGAACATCCTTTATGGAGTCATATAAGAAAGGGCAGAATTGTTGAGGAGGGGAAGTTAGGATCAAAGTTTTAATATGAGGCTTTGTTTTTTGGGATGTGAGGTATTCAAATGATGGGCTGTCAGGCTGGAGTGCTTTTACAAGGTCATTGAAGTGTCAATGTCAATAGATAGATGGATAGATAGATAGATAGATAGATAGATAGATAGATAGATAGATAGATAGATAGATAGATAGATAGATAGTAGATAGATGGATGCATCTTAACAATTGCCAATATAAAGAATATAGTTAATTGTTTCTATTCATTATTAAATTGTATATTAGCACATGTGTGTTTTAAAGCTGAAGACTGCCCGTTCCTGTTTCAAAATCCATCGTGGAGTTTGGGTGTGTAAAAAAAAATACAAATGCTTTAGACCAGGGGTATCCAAACTACGGCCTGGGGGGCAAATGAGGCCTATGTGGTCCATTTTTAATTGTCACGCAGCAATTTATAAAAGTATAATGGAATATGGCTCACACATGAAACGTGGTTTTGTCTTATATTGTATATCTTAAATATATCGAAAAATATATGAATAATATTAATATATGGTTAATTGTTTCTATTCATTATTACATTGTATATTAGCACATGTGTGTTTCAAAATCCATGGTGGAGTTTGGGTGTGTAAAATGGTGCAAACAAGACATTTAATATTAAATGTATCATAAATATATGTAAAGATTACCAAGAAACATTTTGAATATTGACATTTCTCAGTCCTAAAACAGATCTCAATATGTATTTTTAATCTATTTGGATAAAATACACTCTATGTAAATGCAGACAAATTATGAACTGTACTTTGAAAGGAAAAAACAGGAGCAGAAAAAAATAATAGCTCAGTCATGCATAAACAAACAAGTCCCCAGTAAAAACAGCTTTATCTTTTCATAATGAAAACTACACAAAGTTTCTGATATCAGAATGATGCAAATGAAGCCTGACTAAACCTGTGTATCGTTTTGCATGGTTTGCCTTTGAAACTCCACTTTGCTATCATCAGATGTTCTAACTTAGTGTATGTAAATGACGGCTGGCACTCAATCGCTCTGGACTTGGCATGTTTGTTTAGAGCTCAGATGTCTGTGGTCATTCATTACCTGCCAGGTGCTTCTGTGTGACAGCACAGAGCTGCACAGGCCAGCCAATTGAGGCAACTGCTGGTCACTGCTTCCATCTTGTGTCCACTTTAGGGATTTCAAGGAGGAGCACATACAGTGGAGTATGAACAGTTCCCTAAAGAAGCTTTAAAGAAAGATTGAAAACAAGTGCTTGTTTGTATTTTTTATTTATGATGCTGACATGGGACACAATAGACATCATGCTTTCAGTCCACAAAGTAAGCAAGCCCCACAGGAAAAACATTGTATATTTATGCACTGGCGGTCAATGGCTAATTTGCATCCATTACATGTCCTCTTTCAGACTAGTAAAAAGGAAAACGTTAAAAAAAACAAGAATTGTAATTCTCAACCTGTATTCTCAAAATCAAAAATCTATTTAAAATGATGAGCATAGGTTCACAGTACGGAGTATGATGAAGGTCATAAATCGTGTTAATATAATGCATAATGTAGACAGATCACACTACACTGCAGGGGAATGGGATAAAAACATGTTAGAGATCTCCATGAAACTTAAGTTGACTATACTTATAGCATTTCTTTTGGAAAACATGTATTTAAATGTTATATTTAAATATATAAACAAGGCATTACATATGTGCTAATGTGCACACATTTCAAGATATGAACATTTCATAAAGCAGGTTAACATTTAAATGTATGGACATTAGAGTCCAGGTGTAAAAATAGGGAAAAGGTTAAGAAAATTGCACATGATTAATATATTGACCTATAAAATCAGTGGCGTGCTGCTTTAGCGATGACATTTTTACCACAACTTTGAGCTTAAAAGATTTATAGACTGAGTTAACTTATTAAGAGATACATTATTTGATAGACAGCAAAAGAATAGCATTGATTTTTATCAGGGCCTGCTGAAAGATGCAAGGATATTAATGATATGACAGTCAAAATGAATACAGCTAATTGACTTTTCTTTTGAAAGAACTCCAGTTGTGTTTGGAATTCTGTTTGCTTTGGAATGACACAATGGTCACCATGTTGGTTCTACATCAATGACTAAAAATAATGATCAATGATTAATGCATTTTAATCAGATAGCTGTCCAAGTTTTGTATTATTCTGTTGAACAATAAATTCTTTAGCATATTTTTTTCATTATTCAACATTCCTTAATGCCTGTATTGAATAAATGTGTTCAAGGTTACAACAAGGTGCAGGTTCCTTAAAGCCATTGTTAACACATTACAGATGGAGGCTTGCATTGACTTGCATGAGTGTCCTGTGCAGACAAAGAGACTTCACAAGTGGAAAGCGTCAGAATGTACATGTTTTTCTCTTATTTATGTGCATCCCAAACACAGATGCTACTACTTGAAAGTAAAAGCAACACAATAAATAAGAGTATTTATCCACTTTTAAAAAGCAGAGACAGGGTTTAACATTAACAGTACATCAACACATATTTCACATGTGTACTGTTGCTTATCACAGTATTAGAAACATGTTATTAAATTAGAATAGGTGTTATCAGTGACGAGATTAGATTAGCGTCTTGTGTACAGTTATGGCCACTCAACCACAAAGAAAGTTACAGCAAAAAGTTACTGCAATGGCTAGAGAAGAAAATGTGGATGAATGACGTGGGGAAAAGCCAATCATTGTAGAGGTAGGCGGGTATTTCCGGTGACATTGACAAATCAGCACAGACAACAGAAGAACAACTTTAACATGTCAGCAAAACAACATCGAGGGGGAGGGAACTTTCGGAGAGCAATCATATTTTGAAGAAACATCACAATATTTTCATCTAATGGTGTGCAGTAACAGTTCAACCGAAAGGTAAATTGACCATCGGCGTTTTGTTTTTGATAAATATATACATATTACTTCTCAGTGTGCAGCTAACTGTCCAAACTTTCTGACACAGTTAGCTGATGCAGATGGTGAACCCGGAGCTAGCTTGCAGGCTTGTAGACATGCTAGCTAACCTCAGCTAGGTAGCAAAGCTCCCGAGAGCTCCAGCGAAGCAGACAGACATAACGCGTCCTCGTTGCTTTGTTTGTGAAACCGCGTGCCTCTAATTGTATTATTCAAGTGGATTTTTTTCGATTAAATTATCGCCAAGGTCATGTCGGAGGCTTGACTTTTATCCTAAATTCGGGTTTGTCTGCACATCCGTGATGACCACCAGTTTTTGGGGAAGCCATGATCCAATCGGAGTAAACGCTGGACAGAGTGAAAGCTAACGTTACTGTACAGGGCTTGTCAGTAGCTAACGATAACAAACGCCAACCTGGTTATATCACATTATCACGCTGTATGTTCTTTATCTTATTGGTTATGTACCTATTTAGATATATGTTATAGCGCAGTATAAAAGGTGTGCTCATTATGAGTAGCTTACATAAGATACGTCACAAACCTTTTTATTGATTAACACATGTTTGCATCAGTAACATATCAACATTAATACAGATGAATATAGATATGAAGAGGAATGATTAACAAGAGGTATATTAACCTAAACCAATGTTAAACAAATACACAAGCTTAATTGGATGTAGAGAAATAAACACTTAAGAGTGGTGTGACTTATAATAATAATACGTTTAATCCTGAAATCATCTTTTAAAACATAACAATGCATCAAAATAGTAAAATATTGAATATATAAATAAAGGCAGACACAAATTATGTGAAAGTTAGAATGAAACAAGTATTTAAAAATATATGCAACATTTTTAAACAATATAAGTGAAAAATGTGTGATATATGTATTGGTCTGTGTTAATATAATAAATTAGCCACAATAACATTATACAAAATGATATACTATGGTATATGATACATATTATAGCATACTATAATGCAATTGTTCAACAATATTAGACACTATTAATATAGTACAACAATATAACATAGTACCGAGTAGTGTAAGATATAATATAATAAATGCATTTGTATAGTATAGCATTATAAGATGAATTTAATTGAAAACAAAGTACTGTGTGATATGGCAAAATATAATAAATAAGAATGATCAAACACCAGTATGTCTTCAAACTGTGGTTACTTGCAGGTTTGTAGTTGAAATACCTGCTGTATCAGGTCTGATTTATATCTCATATTTCTGTTACTCAAGACTTGTACTTTCTGTCAATATTTGTCATGTATTAATATGCATACCTTTGCCAATATTAAGCACCGGCTATAACTATGCCAGAATAACAATAAGCTGTTGATTTGTGTCGACATATGTTTACATTTAGATAATAATAAAACAATAACAAACAATACATATTTTATTTATTTAAATGTTTATAATAATATTGTTCATACATGAAATGCAACTCAAAAATGTAAAGAGCAAAAGTTAAACATTAGATTACAGAATAAATGTTGTGTTTGTAATTTGTATTGCATTGCATTAACTCTTGTCCCTCCTTTCCCCCCTGAAGCTGCCTGGTATGCTCCCAGCATTACAGTAGATGTCCACCCCTTTAGACACATCAGGTGGTATGTCCCATCCTGGCCCTTCTCCGGGGGCAGGTCTGTCCCCAGGGCCTATCCTGGGCCCCAGCCCTGGACCTGACCCCTCCCCAGGCTCTGTTCACAGTATGATGGGACCCAGCCCTGGGCCTGGAACACCCAATGCACCGCACGGCATTCAGGGTCAAAGTGAATACTCTCAGGACGGCATGTATCCTATGCACAAGGTGTGTCTTTTGTTGTCACTACAGAACAAAGACAGTGTAGTAGTTAGTTTATACCTGTATTGCTTATTGCAGATACTTCAAATTATATATATATTGCCTGATAAATATCAGGAGATACCAATTTACAATAACAAATATATGTTTAAGGTGATTTAGAACATTTCTCTAAGGCATAACTTGTCCACTAGAGCAATTACATGTTACTCTTTAAATTGAATTTAAGAACTATTGGTTTATGTTATGTTTTAAGAAATAATATAGTCAAAAAATAGTATTTGGGCTGCAGTTTTCCTTATTATTATTGACCACACAAGTCACATAAATACATATATACATAAATATATATACATAAGAAAAAGAAAAGGCAAGTAATAAAATATTTGTTGTGGAAATCTACAAGTGGCAGTATACCAGTGCTGCTGTGTTTTTTCATCTTCTTCTTTACATTAAGCTGTAGTGTCTCGACAATTTTGGCATAGCACCTAAGAAATATAGCTTAACGTGTGACCTAGTGATGTCTTCTAAGATGCATAGAAAGAGAATCATATTTATAGCATGATTTGCCTATTGTTATCCCAGCCTTAAGATTTGTTGCTGTTCATTTCAGATTTGAATCTGTTGTTTACAATGAATACATCTTAATCCTGAATCTTTATTTTTGTATTGTCAGTCTATGGAGGGGATGAATGAAAAGACCATGGCAGATGCGATGCACTTTGGTCACATGAAAGGTGTCGGGATGAGATCTCTGCATAGCGGCATGGGACCCCCACAGAGTCCGATGGACCAGCACAGCCAAGGTATCTTATTGTTAGCAAAGCTTATTTTGATGCATTTGTATTGCTCTATTAACTTAAAATAACCCAGTCAATAAGAAGAGAAGATAGGAGGAAAGTCAGTTTGTTCTGCTTTTCTGTCAGGTTACTAATCATACTACCCCTTGGGCTCTGACTTTCGGTTACTAATCTGGGTATGTAAAACCATTCTACTCCTTCCTGTCTCCTGTAGGATACATATCCCCACATCCGTCCCCAATGGGGGTCCATGAGCATGCTTCTAGTCCCATGTCAGGAGGTGGAGGTGGTGGGGGACCCAAACCCCCACCTCCCTCCCAGTCCGGCCCTATGATGCCCACGGACCCTCAGTCAGCCGGGCCCAACATGTCCAACATGAGCCCTCAGGGCCGCGGACCCTCTGCCTTCAGTCCGGTGCAGCTGCAGCAGCTCAGAGCGCAGATCCTGGCCTACAAGATCCTGGGCCGAGGCCAACCCCTGCCAGAAAACCTCCAACTAGCTGTTCAGGGCAAGAGAACTCTACCCACAATGCAACAGCAGCAGCAACAACAGCAGCTTCAGCAGCAGCAGCAGCAGCAGGCACCTAGTGCTAGTCCTTACAACAGGCCTCCGGGTAAGAAGACACACTCATACAGAATGTTTACTTATATCTTTTCACTTTGTGTTTCCATTCAACGGATCCAAACAAACACTCTTATATGAGCTGCGTGTCCTCCATGATATGTGAGTGAGGCGACCTTCAAATCTAGATGGTTCATATCTCAAAGCAACAAGATTTTGATCCAACTGCATCCACACCTTTGGTTGACAAATGTCCTGGTATAGCAGTGTTTATGTTCCATTAAAAGTGTAAAGAAAGAATGTAAACCATTGATATAATGCACATTATGCTTGTGTGGTTATGTAGAAGAATAATATATGTATTATTATGTAAGATATTGGTATTACTGTGCACTACGTTTTAGTGTCTGATGCATCCTTAATCCACATGTAATAATAACATCATATATCATGAGCATTATTACTGCACTGTTGTTTGGAGGCCTTTTGTTGAGAATGATCTGTGTTCGAGGTTTCTTCACTGTAATAAGATTAAACTGTCAGGTTAACCCTAAAATAGTCTTACTATTTTGTATAATTCATTGAATAACCGCTAAGTCTATAAAAGGTCAATTTCAAAAAGCCCAATATCATTTTTATAGAACCTAAGATGGCATGTTCAAATAACTTTTTACCAGACCAACCGTCAAAACCCTAAATGTATTCAGTTAACAATGACATGAAACGGAGAAAAGCTGCCATCTCTAAACATTTGAAGAAGCATACAACTGTTCAAACATTAAAACGGTGTTATCAAACTGAAGATGCCTACCCATCACTGTCTCATATGTTCTTTTCACAATTATTAACATATGTATTTATTTTGTGTTGGAAGGTATGCCAATGGCACCTTTGGGTGGGCTGCAGTCAAGCCCCTGCCCCACCCCAACCATGCAAGGACACAATCAAAGCACAGGACCCAAGCCTTGGCCTGAGGGTAAGTCATACCTGCATATGTGTACATTTAAGTGAGCTGTATTAGTTTTGACTTACGATACATCTTTTCATTCCAAGCATTCATCATTTATTACATGAACTGTTTGACCATTCTGCTCTCAGATGTTTGATGTATGGTCTCATGTCAGATTCTCTTTGAAATCAGGCTAAAGTGAATTCTTTGAAGCTTTAAGTGCTGAAAGATGATGGAATCCAAGGTTGATTTAAACATATATGCAGTATAACAGCACTGCCTGCAAAAAGGCAAATCGAGCAAAAAACGATTTGAACAAGTCATCTGAGGGCTCCTGTTTGGACTACTATAATTTCCACTAATAACAGGCATCAAGTGAAAAGCCATGCGCTCATATATCTGTATATGCAAGTGTTACATATAGGAAATCTAGCGCTTAACAAATGCAACAAGTGTTTTTAATGACAACTTATATCATTCCTTTTATCCTCTAGCTCGCACTGAAATTACATGAAAAATAGGGTTTGAAGATATCGCAAAGGAGAAGAGATATTGGGCTGTCAACAATGTTCTAAATTAGCATTCACATATACATACGTTTTTAAAACCAAAAAACAGACAATCATAGCAGCAGCCACCTTTTTAAGGTTTGGTGAAGTTTAATGAGAAGATGGCGTAAAGATGACATTCACAAATCCACTGTGCCTCGTCATAGCTGCTTTTTTAAGGACTGAAGAGAAACAGGCCATCTAACTAATTATATTTATGTATATTTAGTTCAATAATATAAATAATAGTGAAATACACAACAATAAAGAGAGATACACAAACAACCCAATAAAAAACGTTTCATATCCGTCTGGGGCCAATTTAAAACTAAATAACTAACATGTTTACGCCTTAAGGTGTGAGGTAGTCAAAACGGCAAAAGCTCCTGGAAATGGTATGACGGCAAATTGGTCCCAGGGGAGGGAACAGACTTAGAATGATCCAAACATCTCTACGTCTGGATTAAAGAGTGACCTTGTGTGGAGGAACATGGGGAAGCCTAGATGGAGCCAGGCATGGGGGGAGAAAGGCCCCTCCCATCATATGTATGTGTCTGCTGTGCTGCTAGTCTTAAGGGGGCCCTTTTATGCATTTTGGTTTTTCCCTTTCCTGTAGTGTGTTATATAGTTGTGTGCATGTAAAATGGTCTGCAAAGGCTACAATCCCAAAGTTCCCTCCAGAAATGAGTTTCTCTCCCCCCCCCCCCCCCCCCCCCCCCCCCCCCCCCCTGCCTGAAACACCTCCATTTTATTCCTTTCTTTACTTCCACAACATAGTGACATCACTATATAACACTCACGCTTCTATTGGCTAGTGCTCCAACACATTGTATTTGATAGGTGTTACAACCCGGCTCCTGGGCTGCAACAAAAAGCAGGGTGGGACATCTCAAAGCGGTTGACCAATCACAACAGAGCCTTCCAGCTAACCAATCAGAGCAGACTGGGCTCTGGTTTCAGACAGAGGGTGAAAAGAGGTGCTGCAGCACAGGCAGTATGAGACAAATAAAGAGCATTTTGAACATTAAAGCATTGAGACATGTCACAGGAGAGGCACAACCAGAGGTTGCGCTAGACTTTTTCACTGCCCGTCATTTTGACGGACAGGATCGTAACATTTCCGTCAAAATCCATCATCACCTGTCGGTCCGTGAACTGTTAGCGCCGTGTTATGCATGCCCACTGCACCTCGCGGGAGCGCGCACAGCGTAAAGCAAATACTCAGACAGATTTCAATGATCTGTTCGGCAAAGTTAAGTTTGGAAACTATATCATTTCCTTTTGGGCGGGCATGCGTAACACGGCGTAATACCGGAGCCCCGCTGCGGGGAAACTTTGGCGCTGTTCTGAGTTTGTTCTAATCTTTTCTAACGGCTTTCAGATCTTTCCGTCATTGTTCGAAAAATTCCGTCATAGACGCAAAATATTCGGTTAACGCGACCTCTGGGCACAACATACAATTATGAAACCTGATAATTAGCACAATATGGCCCCTTTAGAAAATACATGACACTTGTTCCACTGAACTGAAGAAACCCTCCGTGCTGTGTACCTGCTTATCCGGAACAGAATCATTTCTTTACAGATCAGTCTACGTAGAGCCCCATTGTAGACCTGCGATTTCTGCTACTGTATTGGTGGTAAAAAACACATTCTTTTGTTAAAGTTCAAAAGCATGCCTTTATTGTCATTGCTCCAAGATCAAACCTGAATTTCCAGCTCACCTTTAATTATTAGGCTCATACGGTTTAAGGGTTTTAAAAAATGTGGGTGACTCGACTTTATTTGGGTGTAAATCTATAACCTGTGTTGTGGGAAGTGTTTTGCTTTTCCTTGCATCAGGAGCATCTGTTTTGTTATTTTTTTACTTTTTATAAATAGATGTTCACCATGTCTGTGACCCAATAACAGACAAAGTGTTTGGTCTCCAGGTCAGGGTGTTGAAAATCAAGCCAACGCCCAGAAGCACCTCACTCCTATTCCCAGTGGACGCCCGTCCCCTGCACCCCCCCAGGCCTCTGCTGTGCCAGCCGGGCCCATGCCAGGCAGTTCACTGACCCCCCAGCCTCCAGGTCAGCAGGTGTCCCCCATGCTCCAGATGCAGAAACAGAACCGCATCACGCCCATCCAGAAGCCCCAGGGCCTGGACCCAGTGGGGATCCTGCAAGAGAGAGAGTACAGGTATCTATCTTTACCACGCTATTATTATCTTAACTTCATAAGCATTTTTGCTGAGGTGGGATCTACAAAGAACGTTGAGCTCTTGTCCAAAAACATCTGGACCGTTTGTGTTAGCTTTTTTATTACAATGAACCATTAACAGAGCTAACACACTCTGCTTGTGTACAAAATCAGAAGGGTGAAGGAGAGGCTGCAGACAGAGCAAATGGAAATGCTGCTTTTTTACATGTTTACACGTTTATGTTCGTAAACAGGTATTGGCTGTTGAGTGAAAATAAATAACAACATAACACTCAAAAGAACTGATGAAAGAACAGTTATCGTTGGAGATCATCAATCCTTTTAAACGCCAGATTTCAGTACCCATCCCACCCAGGTATCCTTATACCTGTGAAATGGATAGTGTGAATAACATTAGTCTGTGAGCCCATATGGTCTTGATGTAGCTTCTGTACACACAAATGACCAATCTGATGGAGATGTGAGGACGGCTCGCAGGCCTTCTTGCTGTGGTTTGTTTTCCTTCATATAACTTTCACGACTCTTGTTTTGAGAATCTGTACATGCTCTCAGATCACCTCAGCTGACCTCTCTTCACAATGTCTGTCCAATTATGCAATCTGAACACAGCAGCCTTTACTTATTGATACACATCTGAGGCACCTGACAGTTGGGTGATCAAAACAATACAGTCAGAGCTTATCAATTATTGTCCGATGTTCCCCCTCGGGCTAGTATGCATTGAGGGTAAGCTACATGAGAATACTACTGATTACATAATGATAGTACCTGTGTCTGAACAACTTTAGTGACAAGGAAGCCGGTGTTGTTGAATTGAAGTTGAACAAAGATGCTCATCCACCTTTAAAGGTGAGCCCTTCAATATCTAGATCTTACTTAAAAAAGTCATATAGGTGTCAAACACAAGCTTTTGAGGCCTATACTGATATCATGATATGGTCATTCAGTTATATTGGCCTGTGTTTTTTCAGGTTTAACATGGGGTTTAAGTGCATCCATATGTTGCATTTCTGCACTCCAGCTTTACTTTACTTAACCCAAACCCATACGCCCATACTGAAGCATCTGCAGTGAGCCATTATCTATTAATATAGCTCTAGCTCAAATCCGTATGATGGTACCTTCATAACACTCCTGATTCTGCCAGGCCACGTACTTGTATCTGCCGTTTGAAAATAAATCGGTCAATAACACTAACTTTATCGTCCAAAGATCTCATTTTCCATAAATGGGTTTTATTGATTAAGTCGTATATATATACCCAAAATGCAAGACATTCTAATTTCTCAAATGAGAGGATTTGATAATTTTGTATTATTTACATTATTGTAAATTGAGTATCTCTTGGTTTTGGACTGTTATTTGGACAAAACATCACATTTTAACATGCTAATGAACTTTATCTAACATTTTATTTTACTTCGTTGCATATCATACCTCTTTCTCTCGCATTCTTTTCAGTCTGCCAATATACTGTCCTATTTTTAAAAAGTTAAAAAAAATCAATAATAGCTGCCTTGATATTTTCACTGACACTCGCGGTAAACTTTTCCATACTTTTGCTGTTCACTTCAAATCATTATCACTTTGTAGATAGAAAGTTTGGGCTCAATTAATTCAGTACACAACAACTTTAGTCATCCCTATCTAGGTCAACTGTGTGTGACAGCTTGAAAACATGCATTAGCAATATTGTGGTGTCTCAGAGGGGGGAGGAGCTTCTGCCATCCAGACTCAGGAGGTGGAGAACAGTTCAGTCTGATCCCAAGTGTGCATTTATTATAACAAGTCGATTTCATTTGTATAACACATTTCATACACAATAAACTCAATGTTCTTTACAGTAAAACAGGAGATAAAAAACACATAAATAAAATAAGCAATACTCCATATAAATTACTTTTGGAGTATTTTTATAAACTAATTCCGCCAACCACCCAACGCTCAAACCCAACTACATACATATTTGATATGTACATTTTGTATTGTGTATTATATATTTACCTACTTGTTTGTAAATAGATATTTTGTTACTATTGAAATGTTTATTTTGTATTTTATTTTATTTGAATATTATTTTATTATATGTTTTACTCATGCAATGCCTGTTAACATGCTGCCGAGACAACACAAATGCCCAATTTGGGATGGATACAAATATATCTAATTTAATTTTAAATAATGTTCTTTATAACCTGTCCTATTCCTAATTTATGCACCTTTGATTACGTTTTTAATTCTAGGTTTATTCGGGAGACGATGAGGGATCTGATCAGTGAGCAGGACAGAAATATATTTAGGGTCCATAACATTTAGGGACTTGTAGACAAACAGACATTCTTTAAAAATCCATTCCATGATATACCTGAAGCCAGTTGTTTATTTCAGTACAGGTTAAATGTTTTTTTATTTCCTAGTCCCACTCCAGCCACATATTGTCGATTTGGGAAGTCTTGCAAAACAGCAATAAATGAATTAAATCTCCCAGAGAATAATGCATGGACACATTTCCAAAACAACACCCTGGTTTCTGAAATGCTCACTGTGCTGTAGAGCAAATGATAACGGATACAATCTCTTGTCATGCCACCTTCAGAACATCATTTTTTTCTTTGTTTAGTTTTTTTTCAGGGATCCACTGGTTGATGAAAAGATCATTTACGTGACTGAGGTTGTTTAAGTAAAGGGAGTTTCTCTCCAGGGTGGTTGTTACTGTTTGATTTACCATCGTCTTAATGCTCCCCAGGTTGCAGGCTCGGATTGCTCATCGAATCCAGGAGCTGGAAAGTTTGCCCGGCTCTCTCGCCCCCGACCTGAGGAATAAAGCCACCGTGGAGCTCAAGGCCCTGCGTCTGCTCAACTTCCAGCGGCAGGTACAAAGCAGTGGCTCCACTCATGTTCAACATGACCGCACAGAATACTCATCTACTCAGTTAATGTATAACTCACAGTTGATGGAGTCAAACATTTACCCTGTCAGGACACATTGCTCAGTTCCCTATTGATTCCTTACATCAAATCTAAACAGTAGGCGTTAGTTGTCTGAGTTGACTTTTAATGACATTTGATTTCCTTATTAAAAGGGTAAAAGAGATAGTTCAAATGAGTTTTTCCTCTATAATATTGTAATTAACACAATTATGCAATTGTATTTGTATTCTAGTGATATCTAGACAGTTTAGTTGTTTATACACCTTCATTTACTTGGCCGTAGTTGCTATGAGTCCCTGCTGTTACAGCTGTGTGTTATTGTGTTACAGAATAACTCAATGCACGTAATATAAAATAGTTCGTTACAGGGTTGCCATAAATCCTAAATAACAATGGTTTACCATTTTCCAGTCATTGAAAACACAAATTATTAGAATTTTGGAAATTATTTAAACATGTGGCTTTTTTTCTTTAGTTGAGAATGAACTCCTAGATTGTAAAGGTAAAGAAATGGATTCAAGTATGGCGTGTTTCCTGTCTGTGATACCAGCTGCACCATCAAGGAAGATGTCCTGGAAGATTTTCTGTAGAAAAGGAAACCGTATTTAATTGAGTGTTTCTCATTTGCTCTGTGCCACACGGCACTTCTAAATCTTTAACTTTTTTAAGGAAAATAACTTACTAACTAACTTAATTGAATATCTCAGGCTATTACACGTGTAATGATGTCTCATAAGCTTCCGATGGATTTAATTTTGATCAATTCTGCCTACGATATAAGTGTACTGCTCACATGCACAGTTCTGACATTATTGATACATCTAATCCATGCCTATCTCCAGCTGAGACAGGACGTGGTGGCGTGCATGAGGCGAGACACCACCCTGGAGACGGCCCTCAACTCAAAGGCTTACAGACGCAGCAAGAGGCAGACGCTGAGGGAGGCGCGCATGACGGAGAAGCTGGAGAAGCAGCAGAAGCTGGAGCAGGAGAAGAAGCGCAGACAGAAACACCAGGTGATCCGCAGTGTTCGTAAACATGTTCAGAGAGGAGCAGGAGTGGTTCCAAAAAATACAAATTGTCCTGTGTAGTCTCGTGTGAATGCCCTCGAAACAAGAGGTGTCATCATAACTACGATTTTGATTGAAAATGCTATTCTTAGAGCTGATGTTTAAAGATAAAGAAGAGAAACACGACAGCTATCAGAAAGATTGTTTCTTAAAAGTCAACATTGACAGTTACAACTAAACCTGCGTGATGACAGAGAAAGTGGAGTCTGGCATCACAATGCTTCATTATTTCTACTAGTAACACTTTGTTACTTGCTTTTCAGGAATATCTCAACAGCATCCTTCAGCATGCAAAGGACTTCAAAGAGTATCACCGCTCGATTTCTGGAAAAATGCAGAAGCTCACCAGATCCATCGCCACCTGGCACACCAACACAGAGAGGGAGCAGAAGAAGGAGACTGAGAGAATCGAGAAGGAGAGGATGAGGAGGCTCATGGTAAGGACCTGAAAGTCCAAATATATATTATATCACACCTTTAAGAAGTAAATACTTTATATCCCTAAGAGTTGTGGAGATGAAAGACACAGAGAGGCAACCTGGACAAGGATGAAATAAATACAGTAGTTTCAAAGCACTTCTTACCCTAGCTTTCTACCACACAGTTAAAACATTTCTTGTAAATCTTAACTTAAACATTAATTAATGTAATCAACTCATATATAAAACCAAAGCTATTTGTCACTGCAAACCCCCCAAAAGCATTATAGAGCGCCTTTATCTATCATATTACTTTTTCAATGAAACTTTGAATATTCTTCCAATCCAAAATGTGTTTATATCACTATTTTGAGGAATTCATTGCAATCATTCATCATCAAAATATTAGAATACTTTATGATCAACTAGAACAAATATGTGGGTTTTATATGGATTTGAGCTTTTGTTAGATTGATGTAAGGAACTTGTCCATAACACACCACAATAATGAACGTCCTGTCCCCACTCAGGCAGAAGATGAAGAAGGCTACCGAAAGCTAATCGACCAAAAGAAAGACAAGCGTCTGGCCTACTTGCTGCAGCAGACGGATGAATACGTGGCTAACCTCACCACCCTGGTGTACGAACACAAAGCTGCTCAGGCTGCCAAGGACAAGAAAAAGAAGAAGAAGAAAAAGAAGGTAGGAATAGAAAAAGGTCAGGTGGTTCCTTTTCACCGAAAGCTTCTTTAAATGCGTATGGATATTTGATTTGTATTCCACTAGGTTCTGAAGACCCAAGGTTTTACCTTCTCTGAGTCAGAAAGAAAAACATGAAATGAGCAAAACCAACAGTGCGCCTCTCATCACCTTCTGACTCCTTTAATCGTATCGTCAAACGTCCTCTTTCCAACAGCAGACGTCAAACTTTAAATATTTTAAAGTAATATGGGTCGAAACTCAGGATAGGGTTTCCTGGAGCTTGACCAAAGCAGTGAATAATGTTTGAAGATGTGTTTACATTGTTCAACTTGCAACCTGCTGATATATTCATGCAGGTTTGTGTGGAAATTAAATGAGTAAAAATGAACAAAGATAATCGTACTGAGCCAATTACTGATATGTCTAGCCCATCACCCATCCCCAGCTGTACAATTACTATTTGGTCAAAACACAGTGTATTGATTTAGGTATAATCTTTTAATCCTTACATAAAGTAAATGAATTCCTCCCTATCAGCTCCAACCACAACAGTGTTACTGTGGTGTGAGTCATGCCTTATGACCACCTTTATCTCATGGTTCATTATTTTCCAGTAGACACTGAGGTGATAGTCAGACTCAGTGACACCCGACATCATTTCACACCTTCGTTGAGAGGCAGAAATAATCAGTGAACTCCTCTGGTCTCATCTTTGACTGGAACGACCACCTGCAGACTCTCAGCCCTTCTTGACCCCCTGGTCTGAGATGCCACTGATGTTAGTCATTTCTAAAGGCTTTTGTATGAACACATATGTTGCCACCTCAGTTGAGTATGTGTGATAACGATCCTAGGAGTATCACCTACATCAGGGGTTCTCAAACTTTTTGTTTATGCAGACCACTTTTTATTATCAAGGATTCTCGCGGACCACCTCATATGCAAACCGTAAACATAAGTGCATATATAAACGTAGTGCCAGATTCCAAGATTGACTGCGAAGATTAGCTGGTTTTAGGCTCTCGTTAGCCAGTGTCTCGTAGCACAGAACGCATACTGGCAAAGGCTCATCTTCAGTGCCTATGTAGGTAAATCCCAGTTCCAAGTAGTTCCCATTGTATTTTCTCTTAATCTTCCCTTTCTTTGTTTTTTTCTGCGGAATCTGGCTTGTAGATGCCTCCGACTCACTCTCATTATCTTCATTAACGGTAACGTTAACCTCTTTTCTCTTCAGAGAACCTGATGCTAGCCACCGATCTATGTTTGTGGTTTTGCACGCGCACACGTAACCATGGGTAACCAGTGGTGAAATTAAGTGTTGTCCATAATTAACGATAACAAATATCTGCGTTTTAACACTACGTTTATATGTACTTATTTTGAAAGTTTGCATATGAAGTGGTCCGGGAAAATCCTTGATAAAAAAAAGTGGTCCGCGGACCACAGTTTGAGAACCGCTGACCTACATAAACACATAACCCTACATGATTCTTGATCATTCCATTGGAGAGCTCTTCTTTGCTCGTTAATGGAGTAATGGAGGGAAGGTTGGCATTTTAGAGTAAGTCCTGGAAATGAGTTACGAATCTATTACGTCCAGGTTCCTTTGTCTCGAAGTCAATGTTTTTTTAACGCATGTTTTAAATTGTTGATTGGATGCCTGAAAAAATGGCTGTGGTTAATACAAGCTTACAAGATTTTCACGTTTTGTCCTACGATATAAAATACACTAGTAAATACCCCTCTAGTAGTGTCTGAAGATTTGACTTGACTTAAAAAAGGTGGTTGCTAACCAGGGACTACATGAGGCTACTAAACGTCATCACATTATTAGCCGCTGTTAGCTTAGCAATGGTGACGCAAAGTTATGAAACTTAGCTGTTTATTTCCGGCAAACAAGTATCAAAGAACGTGTTTGCCACCGAGTTATTTTCTGAGATCCATATGATATGTCAGCTAATTGCTTGTATGTCATGTTTCGAAGGTGGATGGAGACGGTGAGGGCACCAGCGCTATTGGACCTGATGGAGAGGTGAGCTGCAGAGCTTTAAGTTATTTATTGCATTTTTGGTCATAAAATACTGTGTACCCGTTTGTTTGAATCTGATATTATCTTATTCTAATAACCAGGTACAAAATGTGACGATGTAGAAGAGTTTGTTGATCTGCATCTCCACTTTAACAAAGCTTTTTAAATCGAGCCCACAACTTTACTTGTTGTTTCGCTCTTACAGCTTTCATAGCATTTTGGGCAGTAGCAGAAAGCAGTTTTCATTGTGACACTTCTGAAAAACCTTGTTTTCACAACCTGCTCAGCATTAAACAGCAGATGGACACAGTAACACAACTAGCTGGTAGACAGGAGTGTTTAGCAGAAAAGGAGCCGGATACTCCTGTGGAAATTGGTGGTGACCAAAATTGAGCTAAAAGCTATTGAATAGTTGTCTTTTATTCATCAGATGGACATAACTCTAAATCACTACTCATTTTGTGCTGGATGTGTAAACATGCTACTGTTTAGTCACAAGTTCAACATAATAACATAAAACAATAGTTTAAATGTCTGTTTCCCCCTTAATTATAAGAAGACAGAACAGTAATAAGGTCATTCAAACAGCATTTTGAATCTCATATTCCTACCTGATTCATTGATGGATCTCTTGAGGATATATAACTATCGCGGTAATCTCCTGGTGATATTTACTGCTCTGCTGCTTACTGAGAAGGTTATTCCGGCTGCAGAAACCAAACCTGCACTTGACTTCAGCATTCTAAATGTGCTCTGCCAGAAATGAAAAGAGAAATCATATCAAATAATAATAATCCTTTCAAAGGCTGACTGAACCCTACGTACTTTCAAAGAAAATCCACCTCCTGTAAATAATGCAACAAACAAACTCCATTGTTTATTCTCCCTTACAGCCTGCCTCACATTTTAATTGAGCTACCTTTGCCTCCTGTTGGGAATAGATACGCTAAAGTTTAAAAACACTCATTGAATCCCTCAGTGGTTGAAATCCTAAATGTTGCATGCTAATGAATCATGATATCATATTATCACTCCTTGCAGCATTTCAAACAAGAATAAGTGAGTTAGGAACAGAACTTAAAACACGGGAAATGTCCAGATCAATTCATCATCACAGCAACTTGCTGAAATTATGAAATGCGTGATTAACAAATGCCAATTTTCAATAATAACGAGCATTTATATACATTGATTCAAGTGAGTTCAATGCTCACACGCAAGGCAATCCAGCAAATATAGACCCAGTGCCTTAAGCTAGAAGAAGAAGTGTTTGATGAAGACTTGAGGAAAATAGACGTCTGGGGTTTTGTCAAATGGCAAAGAACACGTGAACATGTTCCTTTACATGTAAAAGAGTTACTTTTTCTAACTTTTAGTTCCTCTTTTCAGGGAAACAACAGGGGGCGATGTTCTCCTACTTCCTCTATTGTCGATCTGATCATCCAATATTTACATCAAGATATAAATTGCTTATACAAAATGTTTGTTAGCATATATATGCAAACAGCAAAAGATCAGCAGCTATGAAAGCCTAACATCTTACATGCTTTAGAGAACACTCAAGTATGTTTTGAAAATTGAAGGGTTCTGTTCAAATGCATGTTTCACCTTGTGGTTTGTTGTTCCTGCAGCCCATGGACGAGAGCAGCCAGACGAGTGAGCTGCCGGTCAAAGTGATTCAGACGGAGACCGGGAAAGTTTTGCAGGGAACGGATGCTCCCAAATCCGGCCAGCTGGAGGCCTGGCTCGAGATGAACCCTGGGTGAGGAAGAAGCACTCTCTACTTTTGTCAACCTCTGACAAATTAAAGGGATGTTAGAAGGGATGCAACAAATTCACTTTTGTCAGCCAATACCCAACACCGATGTTTAGAATAACAATGTGGCAAATGCCGATGCTGATCTTCTCTGGTGATCTTTCAGGGAAACAAATACATCTTTAATCAAGATATTATTATACTGCGGGCTGCTGTATAGCTCAGTTGGCAGACGTGGCGTGTACTCGGGCTCGGCCCCCATGCGTAGGACCATTTGCCGTGTGTGTTCTCCTCTGTTTCCCCCTTTCATCACTGACACTTTAATAAAGGCACTGGTTGCCTATAACATTTTTTTTAAATGAACCGCCTTTCAGTTCTTCATCACACTAACTTTGAATGAGCACAAATCCCTAAAAATAACTTCTTTATAATAAATAAAACAGGCTTAGTTTATGAATGTGTAAGGGCATGTCGAAGGCATTTAAGTCAATGAGTGAATATTGTGAGTTCAGTGAAATGGCACTATTTTGCCTTTTTTCTTTTAAATAAGGCTACATTTTTGCAGACATGCTGTGATCTAACATGTTTATAAGGACAGCATTGTGAGGTCCTTACATTTTAAAGTCATATATAGTATGTCAAGGATTCAACACCCTAAATAAAGTAAGAAAGCCTGTTTCCTGGCAGGTTTAGATTGCTGCTGGGTAATTCTGGCGTGTTCATTATTTTGATGTGTGCCTGACAGAAAATAAATATAGTAACTCTACTTTCTTTTTCCATTGTTTTTCCTCCTCTATATATCAGGTATGAGGTGGCCCCGCGGTCGGACAGTGAGGAGAGCAGCTCAGAGTTTGAGGAGGAGGTCAGTCACTTTCTCATTAGTGAGATCCCACAGAGGATGATGTCAAATCAGCATCACTCTGCTGCACTGATTCAAATCATTCAAACCTTATTAATAAGCATTTCAGCCACTTCTCAGTCAGAACAACTGCACACACATCAACATCCACCAGGGGGCTGTAGCTGTATGCACTTCAGTAATCATCTTCAGAGCTACTTCCGTCTCTGCTGTTGTTCATATATTATGTTTTCCCTCATGTCATGTTTTATCATACAAGGACGAAGAGGAGGCCAAGGCTGAAAGAAAAGAAGAAATTGAAGAAAGGAAGATAATCGATCCCAGTGGAATTGAGGAGTTTGTCGCTGATACCACGGATATTATTCTGTAATGTATTATGGTTACTAAACATCACACTTTGTCTGATTTACTGCAGAGCACCTTTTTCCTCTATCAGCTGCAAACAGAAGTCCAATCTTTAGTTTAAACATTTGGTTTTGTTTTTACCAAGTGGAATTATTAAAAAAGATATCAATAATAATAATATGATTAATAAGAAGAAGAAGCAATAACAATAATGACGAGGATGAAATTATTTGTATTGTTATTGTTAATAATAAGAATACACATTTTATATATTTATTGTGCTTTTCTAGGTACTCCAAGACACTTTACAAAAACACTTCATTCAAGTTTCATACAACAAATATAAATGAATTAACAATATAAACAAACAAACAATAATAAAAAACAAAATAAGATTCAATTAAATCCAATTAGAGAAAATATAAATTAAAATCAAAGTAAACATTAAAAGATCGATTTTTTTACAAAACCATTAACAGTCTTCGGATATTCCCAACGGGTGCTTAGGAGGGAAGAGGTCCAAATAGTAGACACTGAGATGAGGGAAAGACACCCTCTTTCCTTTTTTTGATTCTCTTCTCTTTTACATGACACATGCAGGTCGGCCATTCAGGTGGACGATGAGTACAGTGTTCCTACCGGACAAACCAGCACCGCGTCTTACTACGGTGCCGCCCACGCTGTCATTGAGAGGGTGGAGAAGCAGTCAACGCTGTTGATCAACGGCACACTCAAACATTACCAGGTACACACACACACACACACACACACACACACACACACACACACACACACACACACACACACACACACACACACACACACACTTTAATTTCGTTACTGCTTTTGGCTATTTTCAATTTTCAATAGAAAACTGCAATGTTTTTTAAATGAGATTCTGATTGAATGGTTACCATCTTTCTGCAAAACAACTTTTTTAATAAAAGAAGCAAAGACATGTACATTTTATATTTCACTTATTACTTCGCTTTATATCAAAAAAGTTTTTGAGACTCAATCCATTCTTGAACAGTTAGTCTTTGTCCTCGCTGCCAAGAAACTCCAACACCAGACAAGCCTGATTTGTTTTGATCAGCTTGGGAGTTTAAACTTTTTGCTCTTTTTAACTTAAACTGTTTGTTATTTTGTCGACCAGGATGTTATTTGTCCAGCCTTAATTTACAGTATATCATTCAGATATATAATTATTATCAGAGTTGGGTGTAACGCGTTACAAAGTAACGCGTTACACCCAACTCTGATAATAATTATAATTATAAAATAATCACACTCACTGACAGACTAGAGGGGTTTCCGCCGCAGGTTTATATACATGTAGGCCTATGTTGTGTGGCTGGTAGCCTATTTGAGAGCATATAAAAAGAAAGACTTGTGTTATGTCTTCCTTAATGCAATAGTAATTGGGGGTGCAAGTGGAGTCTCGCAGAGGCAAAACTGTGGCGCGCACACTGTAGGTGCGCCGCAGTCTGCGTGATCTGCCTGTAGGGAGGGGCGGGCCGGCCCTGCGAGTAAACTAACGAGTAAAGTAACGAGTTACTTTATGTAGAGAGTAACGAAGTAGTGTAATATATTACTTTTTTTTAAAGTAATATGTAATATGTAATATATACTTTTTTTTAGTAACGACCCCATCTCTGGTTATTATATATAGTAGGGATGCTCCGATCGATCGGTCACCGATCGAGATCGGCCGATACTCACTCTACCGATCGATCGGTGCTCTCTAAACATGCCGATCGCGAGAGCCGATCGCATGACGTACAAAAATACACTTTTCTCTATGCGCGGCAAAACAAGCTCGCCAAAATGGCTTCACCGGTCTGGCATTATTTTAAGGTGTCCGAAAAAGACAGTAAAATAGCGGTATGCAACGTGAAGCAGAAATCCTGCAGCTCCGCCCGCTGTGACGGACCGGTGAGCGGAGCATCACACAAGAGTTAGACCTAACACAGTTAGTTATTTTATCTACCTCTGGAACAAGCTAAACTAGTTATTATAAATATATTTATTCTTCACTGTCGGGTCACTCATCACTGGATCAGTGAGCTGCATGAGATACTGAGAGGCTGTCAGGAGAGGGAGAGAGGGGGAGAGAGAGGGAGAGAGGGAGAGAGAGAGGAAAAGAGAGCGCTTCCGCTCATTTCTCCCGTGTTATTATCCAAAGTGAATGTAAACTTGAATAATGTACTTCATTTGAATGTAATAATTAAGTTGATTGTTGTTTGTGGAAGCTCCAGTGAATGAGCCCCATTAACTGAGTTTTAAACATCACTTTAAATGGAAGATTTAAAGTGATGTTTAAATCTTCCATTTAGGCCCCGCCCACTCGATCGGATCGGTGATCGGTATCGGCCGATACTGATTCCGGCGATCGGCCCCGAAATTGGCGATCGGAGCATCCCTAATATATAGTTACTAAGTGATCAACTCTTTTGCTTGAAGTATAGGCAGATTACAAACCCACTTATCTTTCGAAACATCTACAATTCGCGCATAATTCTTGAATCAAATCAAATCAAGTTTTATTTATAAAGCACATTTTAAAAACGATTTTTGGTCGAGCCAAAGTGCTGTACATGCAATAAAAAACACTTTACTGCGATAGCAAACAGAAGACAATACATTACAACAGCAAATATAAAAATCAAACACAGGGAAATGTCAGGAGTCGTGCTCCGCTCTGACTAGAAGGCCAGGGAGAAGAAGTGAGTCTTTAGTGAGGATTTAAAAACCCCTAGGGTCTGGGCCGACCTCACATGGAGGGGTAGAGTGTTCCAGAGCCTGGGGCCAGCTGCTGCGAATGCTCGGTGACCTCGGGTTTTTAGTCTGGTCTTGGGCACTACCAGCAGCAGCTGGTCAGCTGACCTTATTGCTCTGGCTTGGGTGTAGCGATGGAGGAGTTCTGCTATATAAGCCGGAGCCAGCCCATTTAGGGCTTTAAAAACAAATAAAAGGAGTTTAAAATCAATTCGGAACCTAATTGGAAGCCAGTGCAATGAATAAATGCTTAATCTGCTTTCATGGTTAAAGTAGTAGAAAAATGCAGAATGTGCAGTGATGACTTATTTTTGTAGGCCGAACCATAAGTCAGCATTGCAAGGGCAATTGCATTTTTCTGACCTATTGCAGAAAATAACATCTGTTGCAAACACACGTTTCATATCAACACTAGCTTAAGGGTCAACGCAATCGGCAGGTGTAAAAAGCTAACGCTAGGCTATAAACAGACTACCTCAAGCATAACAACCGCTAAGCTAAAGGCTGCGAATGTGCGGCATGATATCTTTAGAGGGTCTCATTTAATCACTTGTAGCATCTGGTGTTTTTAAAACTATTAAAAGCTTGAGACATTCACCAGTGGGATGTTTTCTGATGTATTGTATCTATTAAAACATTCGTAACTTTGTGTTAACCACAGACCTTTTTTTCGGGGATCCAACCAAACTTTGACTTGAACTTGACTTTGAGAAGAGGGAGCCTGGAAATGCTAAAATGCTAACTCATTCCCTGTTGTAGGACTCATTCCAGCACCACTCTATTCTCACCAACAATCAGGAAGCTTCACATTTTTTAAAACCATCCTCAAAGCAAGCAAACATCAGCACAACATTGTCACCACCAATGATTGCCTTCTATTTTTTGTATTCGTCACACTGATTCTGTTTGATATTCCAAACTGATGGATTTTTATTTTGTGTTTTGCGTACCGTGTCTGTTCTTTTGGGGTTGTTTGTTTGTCAATCTGCGACAGGCAATAGATGCAAATCAGCTTCTAGCTATCTCTGGTGTAATTACTTGTAATGCCCCTGCAAATACAAAGAAAGAACAATTAAAAATGATGATACACAATTAAACAAGACTTGCAGGCACATACAATAGTTATTTGTAGCTGTAGTTTTCTTATTCCATTGTGAATGATGGCGGACACAATCCTTTTTCTGTGCAAAATAAAAAAGTTAAGTGTTCTTGGTCGAAAGTTCCTTTGTTTTTTACGAATACCCGCCAGAGCTAGAGAGTTTTTATTTATCAATTTTCTGCTGATAGACTAATTGATCACTTATTTCATACATATATATTTTGTATGTATTTGACATGATATATAAATACATCTGCTAAATCATCTCATTCTCTTTTAGAGACAGTTGTTCGTAACTCGTAACAATGCACCAACATTGCTTTCCAGTGAGACCCCATAATCCTGTCTCTAATGCAGTGGGTGTTTCTTAATGTCGAGGAAGGCTCCTCCAGAGCCACTATTTCAAGGATGCTACGTCATCCAGTGCCGCCGAAGAACTGTTCCAATGTCCAGGATCCTTGGATTTCTACCAAGGACTGAATCCTTCATTGCTGGACATTTCGAGGATGCACCAGTGTATCCTCCGCGGTCTTAAAATCCCCACAATGCTTTGCGCACGGACCAATTTCCAAAATCTTTGGCGGAACATTTAAGGCGGAGCCTCGCATATGACGCACACCTGCACACTTGCTACCTGTCCCATTCTTCGTTCTCTGAATGAGAGGAAGGATTCTTGCCTAGCCTCTGAAAGACCTGACTCGGAGGGACATGTCCTACCAAGGAAGCGTCCTCGACATTGAGAAACACCCAGTGAAAGTGGATGGCAGTTAAAGATGGCCTATTACAAGAGATAGGGAACTGGCAATTGGAGGCAGCTAACATTTCCTTTCTTCCAATCCTGGCAATCCTCTGATGTATGGCCTGGCAGGCTTTAAATGAGATCTTGTGGCAGCTCTTTGGAGAGCGACGTCAGCTATGTAATAATTTGACAAATCGTCGGCTGTGAGACCAGAGGTTGCTTTAACCCGAACACTTTAATGACGAAAAAAATCTGATGGTCGTCCGTCATTTAAGCAGGTTGAAACAATGAGGGCGATCCATTGTAGCTTTTAGTAATTCACGGCACATTAAAGACTTTGGAGCCTCCTTTTCTCTCCTCTTTATGACCCAAGTGCTTGCAGGATTGGGAAATAAAAACCTATGTTCAGAGAGTGTGGGCAACTTTTGATCACTCACCTGGGAGAAATGTTCCCCGACTTCATGACTTTGTCTGAAGTGGCCCTGATTGGTAATTCATGTCACCAGTTTGGCAGCAGGCTCAGCCTTTTACATTAAATGAAACTGAGATGTGGTTTGTCTAAGGAAATACGCAAAATCTTACTTAGTAAAATGTACTTGTTCATATTGGCCTTTGAAGCAAAATGGCTTCAGATTCTTTACTGTCAGTGCAGGAATAATTATTAATTTGCTTCTTGTGTGTTAAAGAGGCCCTATCATGCTTTTTTGAGGTTTTGCCTTTCTTGTACTGCGTTATATATGTTTTTTGGTGCATATAAAAGGTCTGCGGAGGCTAAAATCCCAAAGTTCCCTCCAGAGGGAGTGTCTGGGAGAGAAACTCCCCCTGCCTGATATGCTTCAATTGGACTCCGTTGTTTACTTCTGTAAAGCATCATCACTATGTAACATTCATGCTCTTATTTGCTAGGGCTCCAACACATTGTACGTGATAGACTAAAGGGCCACTCTAAGCAGTTGATCACAACCGAGACGGCCAGCTAACCAATCAGAGTAGGGCTGGGCAATATGGTCTCTAAATTATATCGCGATATTTACTGACTATATCGCGATACACGATATATATCGCGATATTCTGAAATTTCCTCTAAAACACATACATTTTTTTAATTTAACCCCTTGATGTTTACAGT